TTCACAAACTCTGCGAGACGCACTGGCTGTTTTTCGAGCTGCTAAAAGACGTATTAAATATTTATTTGGAAAGAACTTCACCATTATTACTGATTGTGAAGCTTCAAAGTTCATTTATCGCCCTGAAAAATCCTTAGCACGTTTTTCAGGTGCTATGGTTCAACGCTTGAATATTGCTTTGATTGCCTATTAGTATGTGAATGAGCACAGAAGTTTCAAACAAATTCAACAAGTTGACCACATTACTCGACAAACACTACAAGATAGACTCGTCAATACTTCAGAATATTTGCTAGTGCAACCATTACCGGTGAGCCGTCAAGATCTCATTAGAGAAACTCGTGGATACTTGGGATGTATACTCAGTGCTATACGGAAGGGTTGGAATGCTAATCTGAAACGTAGATTTCCTGTCTATTATTCAAAGCGGGACGAGTTATCTACTACTCCTGATGGTATTTTGTGTTTAAATGATCGTGTTGTTATTCCTCCTTCATTACGCAAACCTGTCTTTGATGATCTTCATAGTGGACATCTAGGTGTTGAAAAAATGAAGTCTTTAGCAAGACTCACATGTTGGTGGCCAGAGATAAATGCAGATATATGTCGTACAGCAAGCAATTGTGAGAAATGTCATAAGCTAAAAAGTCAGCCTTCGAAGTGGACTCCATGGCTTGTATCGTCTAAGGTCTGGCAGAGAATTCATATAGACTACTGTGGTCCATTTCTTGGAAAATACTATGCAGTTGTAATTATTGATTCTTTTTCTAAGTGGCCTGAAGTTTTTTTACAACTTCACCGAATCCTGAATTCACAATCCCAGCATTATTATTATTATTATTATTATTATTATTATTATTATTATTCATATTCACAAACATCTTATGGGTACATAAGTGCTGTAAAGAAACCATTTCGGGTTTCTTCAAAAACGCAATAACACACAATTTTCAATAATGTTAGCATTACATTTGCCATGTTTGAGAAAGGAGGGAAAAATAAAATATTAATAATAGAATAGTAATAATAAATCAGTTTCTTCGTAATTGGCAAGAATTTTGAATTGATTTTGAATGTTTGGTCGAGAAGGAGATCGTAGAGTGTTAGTGACTGATAATGGCTCTCATTTCACTGCGGATTCAGTCACTAATTGATTGAATGGTATAGGGTGCAGACATATGTTTACTGCTCCCAGGCACCCTTGTTCTAAAGGTCAGGCAGAAAATTTCGTAAGAACATTGGAAACTGCTATTGATTCTATTGCTGCTTCAACATTTAATGAACTGGAGAGGGTAGTAGATACATTTCTACTTCAATATAGAAATGTTAAGCATTCTGTGACGTAAGAGACTCCATCAAAGCTATCAAAAGGAAGAATTCTTTGTTCGAATATGAGGTGTTTGGAGTTTACAGAGGTTATATATTTTCGTGGGAACGATCTTCAACCAGCCACGGGGATTATGGTGAAGAATGTAGGAAAATCTACGGTGCAAATTCCAGATATTAATGACTTGAGTATACATAACCCACATGTTGATCAAATACAATACTAGTAACCAGATGTTAATGCTATTACTAAAGAGTACATTCTAGATAATACAGTGTCTTTATCCAATGTATTGTTGAACAGACATATGATGAACTTAACGAGAAGAACAATCGATTACAGACACTTAGACTCTTGTTTAAGCAGTGGTGAATGTGGTGTTTGTATGAACTAATCATTCCTTTGTACTTGTTGATTGCTTGATTCCGAATTCCAAATACAATATATTTGTTCGTGCTCATCTAGTACTTATTGATTAGATTTCGTTATTTCTGGGATTCCTAGTTTGTATTATAATTCAAATACTCCTAATTATAGCAGGTTATTCGGAAATGTGAAGTTAGCAATTGGATTAAGAAGCGTCACGCTTATACCGTACATTTACAAACGAAGAATTTCCAAATGGAAACTGCACAATTCTAGCTCCTTTGGGAAGAAAAGTAGTCACATCGTCAAAGCCCTCAATATTGTCAACACAACTGATTTTTAAAAATCTTACTAACCACAGAGGTTGGAATTTCATATGTTTGGATCTGTCAACGTTACAGGACAATTAACAGAAGGTTGCCTGGGAATCACATTAGTCCTGAAAACTGTCCTCAAAAGTTAAAAGCAACATACAGGCATCAAGCCTCGAATTTTTCTAATTCTCAGACTCAAAAGGTCGGAATGGGTGGAATACATGTGAATTAGAGACGACAGCAAATACAGGTATTTCAAACAAGCAGGGAACTGCGTCACGAAAGTGATAGGATAAGATGGGCTTTAGTATTAGATAAAGCTGACCGATAAATTTGTATCCCATCAGTAAAGATTATTTAAGCCGTTCGACAAGATCAAACTGGGATTTCTCCAGTGCAAGGTACTAATGGCAAGACCGCCCAAGCTTCTACCAAAACAGCTTTATCCCAATATTTTACCCACCACATACAGACATAATCAACAAGAGCTTCACCAGAAACTCAGAAAGACTTTCAGAGGTGAACCCGAGTCCTTACGTAGTGTATTACAGTCTCCATCGTCTGAACAAGGATATATCTTCTGACACGGATTTGGTTCACTTTGCTATACAAAGAGAAGCCAAAAGCTGGGATTACTTCTCTCAATATTCCCAAAAGTTATGGAGTAATTGATATACGACGGTCTACATGACTACTAACTATCTATAAACTTCTCTCAACTCTAATTACATGGTTTCAGGAGGCGTCATTCCTGTATAGCCAACCTTTTGACTGTAGTGAACAGATGGACAGCCAATCACAACGGGAAGGTTGATGTCATGAACCTTAACTTTTCAAGAGCTTCTAATAAGGCGAATCGTAAGTGCCTCATCGATGAGCTGAAACTTTTACGCATCAAGTTACCGTTAATAGACTGGTTTACTTCGCATCGAAACACTTGATTTTATAAAGTTATCGTAAACTTTACTTTTCTTGAGGCTAAAGAATATCCTTGTTAAGCTGTATGTGTATTGGAGTTTAACTACACGACCTTTGAAACTGAAAATATGAAAACCGAGAAGATGTACATACAGAACCTAATACGGAGAGGTCAAAAATCGTGAACACAGAAGACTTAATAGAGTAGGGTATGGCTTGATCATGCGGACTGGTTATTATGTAGGCTATTGCTTTCTTTATCAGCTATATTGTTCTGTTACCAGTCAAAATGTATTGTGCAGACGTTCTTCGAATTAGTCACTGACTATCATGGTAGGATGGGTAAGTATGATTAGTGATGTGAATTCCAAGTAAGGTCTGACAGATTAGGTAGTCATATTATGAAAAACCCATAAATGTGAAATAAGTCTCTTGTTCCTGTAGGATAGACAAATGCACTATATGCCGACCAAGACCACAATTTTACAGGGTCCCCATAGTTCAGCGCTGGGACCACTTCTTGTCTTAATTAATATCAATTAACTCTTTCAGCAAGTATCGTCTGATTTGTTACTTTACACTGACGATAATAAAAAAACACTCTGGGAATTCGGAAAGATCTGATTCGACTTCAAAGTTGTGCGGTTAACAAAGGACTTACTTTTAACACTTCAAAGTGTAAAGCAATCCTTCTGATATGAGTTGCAGACCACTAATACAACCTAGTTAACTGCTCTCTGAAGGCCTCCTAAGTTGAAAATGATCTAACAGTCTTGGTACTCTATGTTCTAAAGCCTTACTCTGATTACGACAAAAATGACTTTCGAGTAATGCTTGCACTGATAAACCTGAAGCGCATTTTTTACCAGTTTGACGAAGGAACTTTTCACTCACGCTTCATTAGTTTTATTTGATCCCATTTAGTGCATTGTAAATCAATGTTTCCTCTCCAATCTCTAAAGGATATGAATACACGACAGAGTATCCTATGGTAACCAACAAAATCAGTCCAAAGACTAAAATTCAAGCCTTTTAAAGAACGCCTTAAATCTTTGGATGATTATCTGTTAGAGCATAGACTCCTGGATATGCTCTTTAATGCTAACTTAAGGTCAGTCGCTACAGAAACCTTAGCTGTAACACCAGAAAAATAAAGATTCAACCTAGCACGTTGGAATGTAGGAATATCTATTACTTTTTAGGGATAGTTGAACCCTGGAATTGTTTGTCGACTGAGGTGGTCCGAGTGACTTCCCAGGAGTTCTTCAAACAGAAAGTTGACGTACTTTTAAGGACTCAGAGCAGCCTTTCACTATAATTTACTAACATTACAGTGTCTTCCATTCCTTCCAGAATCATTTGAAACGTTTGCAAAACTTCATTGCTCAATCGTGCATTATTCGATAGCAGCTTTCGTAATACCCACAAGTGTTTTAATTCTTCCTTCCCTTCTGCGTCAAGTAATATAACTTTCCTACATACTTTATTATTTGTGGCATTGTTAATTATGTAACTTACGCTTTTACATATGCGTCCATCATTCACACTCCATCCGGTTATCGGTGTATAAAGGTTGATTCCTTCACCGAGTTGACTATTTTCCGTCTTGAACTTTCATCTTCTAATATATGTGTACTTACGCACTCCTAACTCAACTCTTAATTAGCTTTCATCGTTATCCTCTATCTACAGAGAGAGCCTTAGTATGGTACATGCAATTAAACAGTGAATTTATGTTTTTCGGTTCATCCACCGTCGTTCAGTTGAAGTTAAATAGTTGCTACAAGACACCATAATCATTTCATTATTTGTATATTTTACTGTCGACACCTAAAAGCGTCAAAATTCGAAAAGTGTAGCATAACAGTGCAAATCAATATTATTTGAGTCATAATAGCTCGTCGCAAATATATTAGTTATCAGATATTGGGATGCATAATTTCGTCTTTAAAGTAGATAACAGTTTCACAACGGCATTCTGAATTAAGCTCTAGAGTTAATATCTATGAATATAATGAAAAAATGTTTATTTGGACTCACTCTATGTGCTTTAAAACAATTTGTTTACTGAACGTGTTTGTTTGTATCAGTATTCCTATTATGTTCTTGCACTTTTTCAAATAACTTCTGAGTTTCGGCTAACAATGTCAGGAGTGAGTTTTCTTAATATTAAAAAATACGCATCGATTCATTGAGTTCAGCTAATATCATGGCAAAATTTCATTTTTTTGGTGAACTCATGAAAAGATTGTCTTTGAGATAAAAAGTTTGTCTATGGACTGCAATTTTGTAAAATTCCACACTTTTTGATGGAATGTTTCACCATCTTAAAGAAGGCGATGAATCAAGGATTTTATTAATGTTCAAAGTCTTTTTTGTAATAACTGTTTGAAATATTTCGTTCAAACGCTATTTCAAAGGATATTGAATTATCACATATTATGCAGATTACATTGCTTTTTATAAAACGCATCGCACTATACCGTATTAGAATATACAACATCCACTTGCAAAGTGAAGACGATGCTTTTTGTGAGGTTTAAGGCTTCTAACTATCAACTTTTCGTTGACATTTATTATTTTCATTTCTTTTACCTATAAAGAGAGATCTAATTAATTTCAACTATTTACGAAACTGACAGATGTAGCTTTTCTATCCGATTAAGGCTACAAACAAATAGCAGTTTACACTTTTAAGCGTAACTACCACTCCAAAAGTATCTAAATACCCTGATCATATACATTGCAAGTATTTTTCACAAAGATATTTCGTCTGTCACTAGCTGAATACCTCAAAAAGCAACCAGCATAAGGGATTGTAAAATTAATGTTGAAAGTGTGTTGCCTTAGCAGAGGCATTGGAACTCTATCGGAAATGAGTAACCTCAGCGAAGTAAGAAAATGTCATTTATTCAGTCAAAAAAACACTAGATGAATAGTGATGATAGTCTTTGAGTTTTCGAGCAATTAAAAAAAACTATCAAGGTATATAACCGCGCTCTTATAATTGATTTCGAGCTTGTTTTTAATGAAAAAACGATCAGGATGCGAGTCCATAGTGAGCGAACGTTTTAGATATAGTTCCATCATCGACCGTTGATTATGGTGAAACTATTACGTAGACCATCATTAATAGTTGCGTTTCCAAGGCAAAGGATTTTCTGGGGCATTTACTTCACTCGTCTGTTGAGCTTTCAGAACTAAATTTAAACAAGTACACTTGTTTATGGGAATACACAAAGAAGTGACAGAATTCCCACTACACTTCAGATTAGTGTTACTATTCCTAGTTACCCTTGGTTTTCAGGGCGCTTATGCTCATTTAATTCAAAACTTTGTAATAATTTACAAAACACTTTAATAAAACCACGGGTAAATCATAGCAATTATCTTACAAACCAATAGAAATGTCTGCTTGTCTTTTGGTTCACTTTATTTAACTTTTCAATTGTCCCAAAGTTACAGTTTTAAAAAGTAAGTACAAAATCATAAATTAGGGTAAGATTGATACAATTTTACACTGATTATCACTTAAATACTTATTTTCCGTTAGGTAGAACATCAGGTTGTGAACACTGAAAGTTGTGGAAAAATTAACGTATTCATACAGGTAAATCACTTATCTTGGAAGTAAATATTCCATAAACAGGGTCCACGTAATACAAAAGTTGCTTTCTTGACAGTTCATGATCTTGGATGCAATCGTATGCTGAATGTTCAAAATAATTTAAAATGTACTAATCACTACAGATAATGAAATTGTTAATTTTCTTGCACACGAATCCATGGAACCGTTAGTTAATCGATGTACCTGGGTACATGTAGATGTTCCAGGACAAGGAGACGGGGAATCAGATTTACCTGCAGAGTAAGTCATTTAGCTAAAAAAACTTTCACCAGTTTTAAATGACCTTTCAATGATAACGACATTTACAGCTAACTATATAATGTTCGAGAATATCTCAGATACTTACAGTTCATGAAGAATTACGCGTCATTTTTAGGTATAAAGGAATAATAATCTCCTGTTTAGTATCGGTAAAGTAAGCAAATCAACTTGTATTTTGACACATCAAGAAGATGCTCTTCATCTAAAGTTTTGTTTAATATAGTTTGATAGCTATGAAAACCCGGTGTGTTGATCTTGATTTATAACCTAAACTTTTGACCTAGGAGCATTTTAATAGACAATGTAGTAAAAACAAAACTATTCACCAATTTCACAGGCTGAACATGCTTAAAGTTTTGATAGTATCGTTGGCTATTAACATTCTGCCTCCCTACGGACATATAAAAATGTAGATAGTATATTAGAAGCCTCATAAAGTGCACCGATAAAATCAGTTTCAAAGAAATCTCATTACTGTTTATCTCAAGCGTCATGACTGTCGATGTCTAGTTTTGTGGAGTTTACCGAGGTTCAATTAAATCTTTGAGGCCAGTTTTTGTGATATATGAAACCCACCTATTTAATGACCTTTAATATACTATAAAGGTAGGTGTGCTATGTTTCTATGACCATTTCCAAACAGACAAAGGTAAATAAAAGATGTTATGGAATTTATGAAGTGTGAATAGTCTCTAAAAAATTGAATTTTTTTAAGTATCTTATTCTACTTAAAGTTGATCGTGTTCCAAGCACACATTCTAACTATCCTTTCAAAACTTTAAACTATTCAATATTTGCCATTCTATTGTTTTTTTCCAGTTATACATTTCCTTCAGTTCAACAACTTGCAGAAGGCATGAGTGAAGTATGCAATGCACTTAGGTAACCTTTACGTTTTCTAATCAAAAAATATAAACAATGTTTTTCTTACTATATTACTAGATTACAGTATGTTGTTGTTTTCGGTGAAGGAGCTGGAGCAAATATATTAGTTAGACTGGTGGTATGTACTTTAGAATTCTGTAGTTATAGGAATTAATCATCTTCCTAAACTGATTGTCTGATTGATTTAATCCGTATTGTTTTATTTTTGCAATGTGTATATATTATTTCAGATGTTAAGATATGACATAGTTTTGGGTGCTGTTTTAATTCATTGTACTGGGACAACTGCAGGGTTATCTGAAAATCTTCGGGATAGAGTAAGAAATTTATCTTCCATGTTGATAGCACTTTCTTTACATTGTTTCATGTTAACATTTAATTTTATATATTTTGTATGACATTCTTACCGTTCGAATCAATAGGTGACGTTTAATTGTCATCAGATTTAGATTATGAAACCAGTTGGAAAACAAAAATGCTGATTTTTACTGCCTATATGTTTCTATAACATAACCAAGCAGCTACCTTCCCTCCAAGACTTATTCGAAAGTGGTTATCGGCAACGGTCATGAGTGAGATAATTTAAGGCTACTTTGGGAAATGATGGAACCTCTTTATTAAAATCTTAGTAGAAAGTTTAAGATCAGATTCATTTTGACGTATAAGTAAGCCTAACTACATTTACTCACCAAGAAATACGATTTAGTTAAAACTGCTCAGAAATATAATCTTTAGAATTCGACCTCCATTTTAGTGAACTCCTATAAAGTTTTAACGATTTCAAATCATTTGAACGACAATTTAATCCTCTGATCTCTTCATTCCGTCTTAATATTGAGACAATTAATTATGGTCGTCAGATGAAACTAACCAACTTGTAAGATGGCAATAACGAGGTTGAACGTTTCAGACATGTAACACTGACCAAATGTTATTCTTTTTTGACAGCAAATGAGGGTTTCACAATCCAGAATATGCAGTTAATTCGCGTTTTAGATCAATCTGTGTTTATGAATAACAGTTTTCATTCATAAACCTTGGGAAGTTGAAATTCAAATCCCAAATCGGTGATGTAAACTTATGTTCAATATTACTCATTATGACGAGCGAAATGATTCTCAACCATGACACTTTATTCTAGAGACATGTATATTTGTACTCATTTCATTGATGAACTAATATTGCTAACACTGATGATTGCGTATGTAAGTGTTAGTTTCATTAGTAAATAACATTTTCCAGCATCTTAACAGAATGCACTTTAGCATTCTGTACGCCCAATCATCCTGGTGTAACATCAACATTCATTCGAGTCCCTCATAGGGGATCTTGGGTTCTCAATGCTGAGGAGTCCCACATAAGGACAAAATGGTTGTCCAGTGTTTTCGGGTTTCTATGGCGGTCTAGCTTAGGTCAACTTGTGATTTTAACTGAGAAACAACTATAATCTCTACAAAACACTACATGCCAATAAAAGTTATACGTTAAGCTTCAAACGCTTTTTGTATTCATTTAAAAGAGACTGCAAGTTTGAAATGGACAGGTATATCCGTAGCATTTTCATACCCATCACGTACACTAAATCATCAAGATTCCATCCTCTTAAAATATTTTAAACTTGTTGCAGTTGTACAGCTATATTCATTATTTATCTTTTCAAATCATGTGTTTATTTTCATTTTATGCATTATGTCCTTTAATCTTATTCATTTTTTCTAAATATATATTTTTAATGATATGGCTTTTAATTATGTGAGGTGTGTTATTATTATGCCTCTATCTCTACAGCCTATTATCCTATCAATGTAACCTACTTCAATGTGACAACTTATGGAGAAACTTATATATACCAGATTTTATAGTTTTAATAGCTGGGTGATTATAAACTAATTTCTCTACCTTATTTATTCTGATTTAAACAGACAACTTTGACATATCTGATTTTGTTTAATAATACTTTTATGTACACCTAGCTGACCTTTAATTAGTGATCAATGTCATGTTTGTCGGGTCTTTCAGAACTTATCTAGTTCTATCAGTCAAGTTATCATTTGGCTACTGTTCTAAGCAACTCAACACCTTTAATAAGTTATTAAGAGGTTGATAAGTTCCCTTAGTATTGCAAGTACTGACAATAGGCGAATCGCACGAAACCTAGGTGAAATAGGATTCACTGCTGACTACCTCTGATCATTTGATATATACTGTATATTGTTTTTCAGATATGGATTATTATGTGTGCTAATTCATTTGAATTCCATACATTTTAACTTAAAAATAAAATTATGAAATACCGCTATGTAAAGCAATCTATACTCTCTGTTGACTTGAAATTTTGAGTACAAAATTATTCATTTGATATTCGTTAACTTTTAGTGATGATGAATTCAGAATGATAAAAAGGCAGAATAGTTTGTTAGGGTTTGTACTTCCAATTTGTTAATCTTCAGGACGATCTAGTCGATTACTTTTCCATATCCAGACACCTTGTCCCTACTCTACCTTTCTACAATGTACTATTTATAGATCTCGAGTGAGAAACGACAAAACCAATCATAAACGATTGGTAAAATTCCCTCTGAGTCCTTTCAGTAATCCTAATTATTTTATGTTCATTCTAATTCAATCATTATCTTAATAAATGAATATTATTCCAGCTGAATGATCAAACTAAAGTAAGAAAAAGAGAGAAAAATATATTACCGACTAATCTGATTAGGATGAAATCCTAAAATAATGTTGACAATATTCAACTTTATTCTTTTCCTACGAGGTACATACTTTCACCTATACTGTACATAGTCTATAAACAAGATAAAAAGTTTTTCATGTATCATATATTCTATCATTCGGTCTCTTCTGAGTTTTATACTCAGACAAACAATAAGTAACTGATATATTACAAAAGGAATGATTCTTTGAAGTAAATAGGACATTACCAAAACCTGAATGTATAAAATAATGATTGAAGTGTGAAAAATATTTTTAGTGATAGTATACAACTCAATAGTGTATAAAGTTATCCTTTGCCATTGTCTGTAAACTGAATAATTCAACTCGATTATTCCTCACTAGTCCTTTGTTTTCCTAGTTTATCTCTGTATTAGTGTAGTTTAAATCATCGTTCTTGATTTTATGCAATAATTTGTCAACCAAAGTTGTCCAGAATTTCTACTACACAATAAACTTTATCTTTTTCGCAAACCTATTCATTTCAATTGCTGAAGTTGAAATCTAATTGGTTTGTAATTGAAAGTTGTCCGTTTGATAAACTCCAGACAAAATTCCAATTATGATAAATATTGAACATTTGTGTGTTTAGTTTAATGTAACCACTATTTTTTTTAAAAAAATTTCAGTTAATTGGATGGAAATTAAATACAGTTGGAATGAATCCAGCTGCGGAATCATATTTATTAATGCATCGTTTTGGTTCGGTAAGTCTAATCAATCATTGTGTTTAAACGATATAAAAAGAAATTCTATCTAATGTTTAATATAAATCATTACAATTCATTTATAAGCCGAAAATCCTGGCTAGCTTAGTTTTGATGCTGTTCGATATTCGGTAAAAAACCTCAAGAAGTATCAATGTTTCCTGTGAGTTTCGAACCAGCATAATCCAGCTTCATAGTCTGAGACGTTATTACTGAAATGTTTTGACTTCAACTGACCTATAGGACTGAAATATAAACGATTGATTCAGCACTGAGGCGAAGCGTGCATGAATTTGTAACGGAGCCTCAGTTCCTTTAAGATTACAAATGTACCCTGTTTATTAGTCCTAAAACAGCACGGAAACGAAGTTCAGGGTTTCCCGCTTACTATCTTCAACCACCTAACAATGAAAACTGATCTATTTTATTAATACCTATCAATTAGCTTTGCAACAATGTGATTGGATTCTTTAAAATATGAGTTTCTTACTGATTATTACTGACCTCTAATAACAGCCTCAAAAACACCTTGATAAATAATATTCAATCAGTGTAAATAATCATACAACGTGACATCGCCCAATATTCAAGGAGTCTCCAGTATAATAAATGTAACTAAGTCAGCCATACTTACATTATATAGTTAACAAAGATATTATGGATCATATGTTTTAAGATCAGCAGCACTAGTAAAGATCTATTCATTAATTCATTTCAATAAATTTTATTCGAATTACATCCTAATACCATTATTATTGTTCTGCTGAACCAATTTGTATTCGTGAATTTGGTGAGACTATAATTTATGGACGAAGTTTCAGCTACGCTAGACTGACATTGAGGGTGTCTATCTAATAACTAGAACCAAATGAGAGTTATAAACCAGTGTGATGAATTAGAATTACGATTTACAGTTGATGATTATGATTACCAATTAGATTTAGAGTTTCCATCAGGAAATAACATCAGCTATAAACCCAAAATTCTATTTCACCAAAGGGATGAATGAATTTCACGTCGAACTTCAAGACCTATTATCTTATATCTGATTAGTTCGTCCATAAATTACAATCTCTCTGTATATTTTTCTCTCCTGTTATCTTGATATGAAATATGGAGAATTAAATTAAGAAACATACTGACAAAATAATGATTGAATATTCATATAAAATATTCCAGTGAAAATTTTATAAACAGTTTCAATTTTATTACAAAAACTTACAAATCTCATATATTATATCAATGAACGTTATATTACTAGTATATTCCATATCCATGTATCTTAAATTTATGAAAAACATAAACTGTATTATATCCTGACTATGAACTATTTAATTGAATAGATCAGTGAAAATTCTCTTTTCTTAATAAACAAAGTGTATTATTGATTATAGTTTGGATAATAATAAATAGCGGAACTGATTTTAAGATTCATCAAAGAAGGTTTACTTCCCTCCTTTATTTTACGACTGATGTTAATGTTTCACTGATTCCAAGAACCTCCAGATTGTACTTTCTCATTTCTACAGCAATTTGGAAGACTCTTCCGGTCTCCCACATTGTACAGACATTCCATGTACCTATAAAAATTGTTGCTCTGGTTGTTAGAAGGTGCATCGGCCTCATGACTTCCGAAGGAACTCGGCTTTCATCATGAAACGTCATAATTATTGCTTCTACTCCTAGGGCAGAGTTTAAGTGGTTTGAATATTTTTTTTCTGGTTAGCGTTTTTTTAACGAGTTGGTTTTCTACGGAATGTGATCGCTAACTCCATACTCAGCCCTTCTCGTTTAACCGGGCTTGGGACCGGCAGTAGCCTCCGGAGGAGCTACAGGCGGAGTTACTGATGTTAATACTAAGACTCAAATCTAGTACTCATCTTAATAAACTGTCAATGAAGTTACTCATTGAGAATCTCAGCATAGTGATACAGATACATCGTGGTGATGTGTCTTAGATTCTACTGCTAGTCACTAACATAAATGCAACCAGCTATTGGTTACACTCAATATCATGATATTCTTCAATGAACCAATATATGTCGACAGACACCGACAAGTATAAGTGTTACGAACCGGAAAATATAAATGATTGTAAATAATAATAATAATAATAATATGAACATATCCATCCAAACATTTATCTGAATATAAGTAAATGAACATTTTAAAAATATTTGAGTAAATTTTCTAGCTAACTAAATGACTAAAAAGTCTTGAACAACTCTCATGCTCACTAAAAGGATAATTAGAATGAAGAAATATTGCTTTTCAATTAGTTTTTCTATTATGGCTCTACACTAATACACGCATATACATCATTTATAGTAATAATAAAATAATACTAATCAAGTAGTAAAGTTAAATAATATAAAATATCCATAACTGATTATGAAAATAATGTTGAATGATTAACGAAGTGATTAGTAAAGGGAGGATGTGTTCAATATAATAAGTAAAGTAATGATTTGTAAATAGTAAAAACATGTAATCAATTGTAAGCAAAGATGGATAAGGCTATATTGAGGCAATATGCACAGTATGCACATATGTCAATAAGAGACTGACCAGTTGCAATCCTAAACATCAATGGGAAGATTCGAACAAACAATACTAATTGAATGTAATCAATTGGTTATCAGATTTTATTATATTAATATTAATGGCTTTATTCAATATTATATTTTTGGTAAAATATAGAATTCTTAGAACAAAATATTTCAACAAGTTTCCTCTACTTATTTCTTGATCGGTCCTGACGATAAATATTGTGTGATCACATGTTAAATGTAAGCAGTTCAAGAATCAACATCTGAATAATGTTCCTTCTTTTTGATACATATTACCAGCCATCACGATATCGTTGATTGTACATTTTTGTAACTTGTATAGCGAAAGGTTATAAACTTTTCATAAATGTGCCTAAATAGATTTTGCGATTAATAGACATAATGGTATGTTAAAACAAACGAAGGCGGATAACTTGTTGAAATATTTAGATGGCAGGAACAGGTAGCCCAGATATTCAAGTGGGCCATCCCGGAAGTTAGAGAGTTAATACAATATTTTGATAAGAAGTCCATTTTATAACACTAAGCAAGAATTAGGCGACAAATATATTGAAATCATGTAAATAACTGAAAAGTTGGAAGAAATTAAAAGACATTTTATAAAACAATCAGGTGGATCAAATTTTAATTAATAATTACTCCAATATTGATGTCTAATGTAGACAGAAGGGTTGAATAGACGTTTTTTAGTGCAAAAGTTAGCTTTATGAATATGGTCCTAATAGCTTCAGAGGTACCCAAAAGACAAGCGCTCAAACTGTGCAAAAGATCTGATGAATTACAATAGATAACTATGAAAGCTTTATTCAAGTCAGCCTATTGTCTTGTTCTCATTAGGTGGAAGAGTATAGAACACATAATCAATCTGAACTGTCCTTCGCTCAATCAGAATGGCCATTATTCAACGATACTATGACAGACTTATTGAGTCGTACGTCATTTTTAACTAGCGTTTCATAATTACCAAAATCGTTCTTCCTCTAATCGCTTAATTAATCATTCGAAAGCATTTTGTAATCAATTATGAAATTCTAAATTGTGTAACACTACTAACCAATCAGTATCAATTTATTAGTAATGCAATTCATACATATATACATGCATAGTGCTGATTGAAACAAAGATTTCTTCTTCTCCTTCCAGTAAATATCCTATCGGGAATTTCCACTGTACTAAAACCTTTATATTGTTAGTTTTAAATGCAATCCTCTTTTTTTTTACTTTATCCACCATCGTTTTCTTCAATCACGACATTATGATTGAATTTTACAAATGAAATTTTTCAGTTAAAATAGATATCTAACATTATTAACATACAAATGTGTAGTGGTGGCTCAATGATTAAGGTTACTGAATTATAGTCACAATGTTTCAGGTTCTAACTCCACTCCACTTATTTCAGTTAGAGCAACCCGGTTATGTTACGAATCTTCAACCTTACTGTTGCTCAAAGCCATATAAAATAAGTCCGCGTGTGTAAAAAATCAGTTAATCTATATCTGTAAAAATGTATAACTGATGACAGTTATAGAATACTAAATTACTGAAAGTTTCTTTTTTAAATTATGTTAAAGCTTTTAATCGAAATGTAAACCTTAATTTTGTCTACGGATTATATGGCTACCTAAGCTTGAGCTAAAATTATATAATTCTATCTCCATTTTGAAGATACACATGAATGTGAAATTAACCACTGAAGAAAGTTTACAAGTTCATTAGTTTCCGATCACAGGTATTTAGTCTAGAAACTAACAGTTGCTTCAATAAACGTTTCACACATGACATTGCTCTGATTCTCAATTGTAATCAATTCAAAGACTTAATATCATAGGCTGACATCTATCAGAGAAATGTTGAACAATGAAAGTCAGTAAGATAATCATTCCATTGTATTAAAAACTACTCAACATGAAGTACATTTGACATCATATAATTTCTAAATCAAGAATTTAAAATCTCATTATAACCAAGACTTGATGTTGACAAACCTTGAACTGAAAATCTGCTATTTCAAAATATGACATTTCGATAACTAGTACAGATTTTACTGACCCTGAGATAAAAAAACACCTGATGGTATTAAGAGATTTTTACTGCAAAACGTTTAATCAACTACTCTCATTTCTATAAGTCAAATGTTGTTGTCATTTCGAAACCATAAAATTTGTATTGGAGAAAATCCTTGAAACATATTTTCTATAAGAAAAAGGTCTTTATGATTAAATTCACTTAGTATTGTCTGTTTGTATCTTCCGATTAATGTTTAGGACTGCAATTGGTCAGTCTCTTATTGGCATATGTGAATACTGTACGTATTGCCTCGATATAGCCTTAATTCACAAGCATCCTAAGCAAAGATGGATAGTGGCTAGTAGTGGAATCCAGTTTGACGCGTTTTCGTCTTATTTGGGACTCGTCAGCTAGATGTAC